TTCTCCATCCTATGCATCCTAAATCTTGCCTCATCGCCTCATAATTGCCTTTCCCCCAGCTATAACTCTTGCCCTGCGGTATATACCTATCCCTTTCCATCGCTAAAGTGAACGTAACCGAACTGTGGTCACTATCACCAAAGTGCTCACCTACCTCCAAATCTAACACCTGGCCTGGTTCATTACCCAGTACCAAATCCAATGTGGCCTCGCCTCTTGTTGGCCTATCTACATACTGTGTCAGGAAACCCTCCTGCACACATTGGACAAAAACTGACCCATCTAAAGTACTCGAACTATAGCGTTTCCAGTCAATATTTGGAAAGTTAAAGCCCCCATAACAACTACCGTCACTTTCACTCCTATCCAGAATCATCTTTGCAAATCTTTTCCTCTACATCTCTGGAACTTTTCGGAGGCCTATAGAAAACTCCCAACAGGGTGACCTCTCCTTTCCTGGTTCTAACCTCAGCCCATACTACCTCAGTAGACAAGTTCTCATCAAACGTCCTTTCTGCCACCGTAATACTGTCCTTGACTAACAATGCCACACCTCCCCCTCTTTTACCACCTTCCCTGATCTTACTGAAACATCTAAACCCCGGAACCTGCAACAACCATTCCTGTCCCTGCTCTATCCATGTCTCTGAAATGGCCACAACATCGAAGTCCCAGGTACCAACCCATGATGCAAGTTCACCCAGCTCCTTCCGGATGCTCCTGGCATTGAAGTAGACACACTTCAAACCACCTTCCTGCCTGCCGGTACACTCCTGCGACCTTGAAACCTTATTTATGACCCCACTACTCTCAACCTCCTGTACACTGGAGCTACAATTCAGGTTCCCATCCCCCTGCTGAATTAGTTTAAACCCTCCCGAAGAGCATTAGCAAATTTCCCCCCCAGGATATTGGTACCCCTCTGGTTCAGGTGTAGACCATCCCGTTTGTAGAGGTCCCACCTACCCCAGAATGAGCCCCAATTATCCAGGTATCTGAATCCCTCCCTCCTGCACCATCCCTGTAGCCACGTGTTCAACTGCTCTCTCTCCCTATTCCTCGCCTCGCTAGCACGTGGCATGGGTAACAAACCAGAGATAACAACTCTGTTTGTTCTAGCTCTAAGCTTCCACCCTAGCTCCCTGAATTTCTGCCTTACGTCCCCATCCCTTTTCCTATCTATGTCGTTGGTCCCTATGTGGACCACGACTTGGGGCTGCTCCCCCTCCCCCTTAAGGATCCCGAAAACACGATCCGAGACATCATGGACCCTGGCACCTGGGAGGCAACACACCAACCGCAAGTCTCTCTCGTTCCCACAGAATCTCCTATCTGTCCCCCTAACTATGGAGTCCCCAATGACTAATGCTCTCCTCCTCTCCCCCCTTCCCTTCTGAGCAACAGGGACAGACTCTGTGCCAGAGACCTGTACCCCATGGCTTACCCCTGGTAAGTCGTCCCCCCCAACAGTATCCAAAACGGTATACTTGTTTTTGAGGGGAACGGCCACAGGGGATCCCTGCACTGTCTGCCTGTTCCCTTTCCATCCCCTGACTGTAACCCATCTACTTTTATCCTGTACGTGAGGTGTGACTACCTCCCTGTAACTCCTCTCAATTTCCCCCTCAGCCTCCTGAATGATCCGAAGTTCATCCAGCTCCAGCTCCAGTTCCCTAACACGGTTTCCGAGGAGCTGGAGTTGGGTGCACTTCCCGCAGATGAAGTCAGTGGGGACACTAGTGGTGACCCTTACCTCCCACATTCTACAGGAGGAGCATACAACTGCCCTAACATCCATTCCCACTGTTCTGAATTCCCAAACAGACAAATAAAAAAAAAAACTAGTAGCCTTACCAAATCAGCGCTCAGAACCTTTTTTTTTGGTTAGAGGAGGAGGATGGGTGGGAGACACTATCTAGGTAGTGTTTCGGGTAAAGCAACCGCCCAAATATATTACCTCACTTACTCCAAAAATGGAGTCACGTGAGGTAAGACTTTTATAATCGAAAAGCTTACCTTCCCAGGCTGCCCTCGCGCTTCCTCCCGGACTCCCGCCGCTGAAACAACTGAAACTGTGGTTTTGTAATGATGCTTTAGCTAGAGTACAAGTCTTGTAACGTGGAAGACTCTCAGTTGAATTACCAGTAATCTAGCTGTGCTCTTCACAAAACCAATTTCAGCGGTTCAATATCTGGATTGGAATGGTAAATTTACTAAGCTGTACACCTTTCCTAATGAAAAGGTCACAGTAATAGTGCTTGGTGAAGATGCTCAATTGCCCACCTTACAGAATAGCCCCAGATTAGTTCCATAATGTAGCACTTTTGGAGAATGCCTGCTGACCTTGCAAAGAGCACTTAATTATACAATGTGCTGTCTCAAACTTGAGGCATACCCAAAAAAGAAAAGGGGACATTTATACAAATTATTTTTTTTTAAAAATCACTTTTTTTGTGAATTTTAACTGAAAAAGACACTTTTATATTCCAACAGTAATCTACCATCTGTTTTCCAGAGTGGAAAAGGTAAAATAAAGAAAAAATGAACCAAATTAAATGGAATTTTAAGCACTTTGAACAGAAATGCAAGGTGAAGGAATTAATTGATGAGTGACTGCTGTGCGGATGTTCCTATGCAGTTGGTGTTTTCGTCTCAAATAGATAGTGAATCTCTGCCAAGGTGGAAGTGCTATGCTGAAAGGCAATAAATTAGCCTATTAAATAAATAAATGGGTCATCTAAAAATAGGTTTCTCTCTCCTGGATTAAAATTTAACCTATGTGACCCCATTTTGTACAGTTCCACGTTTATGTAAGACATAGTCTAAATTATGTTCTCAGGAAGATTTTTAACATTTATTCCTCTTCTTTACAGCCTTCAGCAACATATAAATCTGTTAAATGTGCTGATTCAAGACTTTGAAAGAATACAAGTTCCACAGTTTTGAATTGTGAGCAATTTCTCTAATAGATAAGAAACGTTCATTGGAAACTTGTATTTTAAAGATAACCCCAAACCCAGCCCTTGGTTCTTTGCAACCTCCACATCCATGACAAACATACATCAGCGTTCCTAAGTACCATATATGGTGAGGTTTATGATGCAACTTTCCTTAGTTTGAGCAAAATTTTAGATATCACCGGCGACACATATGTTTTATTTTTGCAACAAAAATACACAGGGAATTTAGAGCTACATATAGTAAATCAACAGATCGAAGATAAGCTCTGCAGTCTTTCCACAAGCATCTGTGAATGGTAGTAGACAATAACATAACTAACTGGAGGAGGAGGAGACTCCTTTAATATCCCCAGATAGAGAGTCTCAGCACATCAATACAGAAGACAAGACTGAAGCATTTGCAAGCATTTTTAGTCAGAAGTGCTGAGAAGATAATCCATCTCCTCCTGAGGTCCCCAGTTTCACAGATGCTAATCTTCAGCCAATTCATTCATTCCACATATTATCAGGAAACTGCTGAAACCTCTGCATTCTGCAAAGGTTATATGTATCTTGACAGCAGCATCTATCTACAGTACTGAAGATTTATGCTCTGGAATTAGTCATTTCCCTAGACAAGTTGTTCCAGTATAGTGACAACACTGTTTATATCTAACAATGTGGAAGATTGCGCAGGTATGTTCTGTCCATAAAAAAGCAGGATGAGTTCAACCTAGTCAACTACCACCCCATCAGTCTACACTCAGTCATCCACAAATTGATGGCTGTCAACAGTGCTATCAAATGGCACTTGCTTAACAATAAACTGCTCACTGATGGTCAATTTGGGTTCCAGCCAGGGCCATGAGTGAAATCCTGGATTCATTACAGCCTTGGTCCAAACATGGACTAAAGAGCTCAAATCCAGTGGTGAGATGAGAGTCACTGCTTTTAATATCAAGGTAAAATACAACAAGTACAGCACTAATCAGCCGTGGCAAATTAAACTCAATGGGAATCAATGGAAGTACCTTCAACTGGCTTAATTCATACCAAGCACAAAGGAACTGGTGGGAATTGTTGAGGTCAATTTTCTCAATTTCATCATCATGGGAACTCCTCAGGGTACAGTCCTAGGCATTATCAACTTCCTTCCATCATACATGGCAATGTCTGCTGATGATTGCGCAATGTTCAGCACCATTCATTACTCCTCAGATACCAAAGCAGTCCCTATCAAAGGTCTGCAACACCAGGACAACATCTGAGTTTGGGCTGGTCAGTAGCAAGTAACGTCCATGCCACACATGATCCAAGTAATGACCATCAACAAAAAGAGAATCTTATCATCTTCCCCTTACATTCAATGTCATTATCATCACTGAATCCCACACCATCAATATTTTAGGAGTTACACTGGTCAATGATTGAACTGTGCCAGCTAAATAAATATAATGGCATCAAGATCAAGTCAAAGGCTAGGTGTTCTGTGGTGAGTAACGGAACCTCCTGACCCTCCAAAGTCTGCTCACCATCTTCAAGGCATAAGTCAGGAGTGTGATGGAACACTTCCATTGCCTCAATGAATACAGCTCCAATAACACTCAAAAAGATCAACAGCGTCCAGGACAATGGAGCTTGCTCAAATGGCATTCCGTAAACCATCTCAAACATTCCGTCCCTCCACTGCTGATGCTCAGTGACAACAGTTTGTGCCAGCTACAAGATGCACTGCAGCAATCCACTACAGCTTCTTTAACACCATTTTCCAAACCCATGACTTCGAATGCCTAGAAGGACAAGGGCACAGATATACGGGAACACCATCATATGCAAGTCCCCTTCAAACCACACACTATCATGTCTTTGATCTATATCAGCAGTCCTTCATTGTCGCTGGGTCAAAATCATGGACCCGCTTTGTAACAGCCATTTGAACGTACCACAATGACACCCATATTCCATGAACAAATAAAAAGAAACAAATGTAATTTGATAGTTTCTATATTAATTAAGAGCATAATTAAAATTTAAAGTGTTACCTTCCTTTAATTTACTTACATTTTTCAACAATTTAGAATGGTATTCCTCCTCTGGGTAATGTAAATTCTGAATAAGACTTCTGATTTCTTGATCAACACCAGTCAAACTCCGTAGCAAGCTCTTATTTAAAAAAAACAAGTTAATAGCGAGTCAATATTAATGGATCCATAAAAACATTAAACCAACCTAAATGCATTTAACGTATACAGAATGTAGGGATTTGCTCAATAAATTTTTATTCACTAAAACTGAAAATCAAGCCAATATATCAAATTCTGCTCTGACACCTTTTAAGAAACCAAGAGGTGAGAGAACTCCATATTGTACATGAGAACCGGTTGAAAACAAACATATAAAAATAAATTGACCAATGACTATCCAGGTCTAGAGACTGAAATGCAAAAGCAGGGGTGATATGAGCTATAATGAACATCTGAAACTACTGAAATCCAAAGGATTTATTATAAATAAGCAATAAGTTACAATTAAGGCAGGATATGCAGCATAAGTGGGATGGGTACATTATATTAAATTAAATTGGCATAGAAATGTCATAAACACAACCTTCAAGATGTAACAGGACTTACACACTTTTTGGACTTGCAGCAAGATATTGAAATACAAAAACAAGAACCAACCAGAATATCTTTCCATGTTTGAAGCATTATATAAATTCCAAGTAGAAGTTCCAAATTGGCAAATGAAGCAAAAGTGCAAATTTGTAAAATTAACTTTAAAAATAACCAATTTACTAATTAGATCCTTAAAAGTTCCCCAAAAGTTGGCAATCATAACTAAAATTGAGTGGGATTCATCTCCTTTACTCCGTGCCCTGTACTATATTTGACCTGGATGAAATAGTGTACTTATTTGTGAATTTACTTCTTCTAGCTAGAGTGGTCTTGTTTGCTTTCTTAAACAGACTCCAGTACATTACCACAAGGAACAATAGGCTACTTCTGAAACGAAAACAGAAATAGCTGGAGTAACTCAGCAAGTCTGGCAGCATGTGTGGAGAGAAAGTAGAGTTAGCGCTTTGGGTCAGGTGACCCTTCTTCAGAGGCTACTTCTGATGTTTACTTCAAAATATTCACGTGCACCTTGGCTGCAGACAAAGTGTGCGTGAATATTTTGAAGTAATGGGCTTTACACGTGTACTCATCCTCTCCATACTTACAAGCAACAATAAAATCTTCAGAACTAGAACCAGTTGAACAGAAACCTGGGGTCAGTTTTACTTCAAACATGAATTGGCGAGTCATGAGAGGTACAGGAGGAGGGTGGCGTCAGAGGTAGACAGGAAACATTGCAAGAACTGAGATTCTTGTTGCTGCTAGCTTTCTAAAAATGACATTTCAAGCAGCAGGGAGGCATAAGACCTGGATGGCATTTAACTCAAGGGATATAACTGCAGCACCAGCATCGTAAGATTCAAGCAAAAGGATACCATTTTTCAAGAGATGGTACAATGAGCCACAGATCAAAAAGTTGTGAAGAGGGCGATTTGAAGAAGGGAATCCAGAGAATCAGAATCCCAAGATTGCTGGAGGACCCAGAGAAGCACCTTGTAACTTTGGCCTTAATAGTGATGACAGTGGTGCAGGTGGTTTGGAGGGGTGGGGGATGTGGAGGAGAGAAGAGCACCACAAATGCTTCCCTACACAGATTTGCAATTCCAGTTGAGCCCTTCTCTGATAAGGCAATCTGCATATTCAGGACCCAGCTTCACTACAATAAATGTCCTAATCATCTTCTACAAAAACAAATTTGGTTAATTTCAAGATCCACTGGAAGCCAACAGGATTGTATGGGATAAGTTGCAAATGGAATTTTGGCACCTGTTTGCTGCTTGGCAGAGCAGGAGGGGTTTAAAGTTCTATCCCCTTGGTGCAACAGCTGGAGTTAGTTTAAAATGATTTTGATAGTGGTCCTTGGGACCAGTATTAAAGTAGGAATAGGTTTCCTATTATCCTTGTTGATTGTTCATTCCTGGTAATATTGGCACTAAATCATTAACATGGAACCTATCCAGCTACCTATAAACATCTCTGGAAGAAATGCACGTGGGGTGAATGAAGAAAGTACAATAATCAAATGAGAGCTGTCTAGCTCTTGCTGTGCAAGACAACTCTCACAGGGAGGGGCACCAAAAATCAGGCAAAGTCTGGACATTCTCCGTAAAGCACATAAATCTTCTGCTTTAAGGATTATTTTTCCGCTATAGTGCAAGATAATAATTCAAAGGAGCTAAGTTTTACACACCGCTTATTTCATCCAATATAAACATTCTGTATTTGAGCCATATCTCAATATGCTTGCTGAATCAGAGGGGGCACATTGTCTATGTACAATTATGGTCTGAATGTTATCAACTGTGAACTGCAATAAACATCTAGGACGTTCTATTACAGCAAAGATTAAATTCAAAATGCAGGAATTAAGTTTAGCTGTCAAATCAGTATTTCCAACAATAAAAAAGAATTCCATACCAAGTAAAAAAGAAACATACTCAATTCAGAAATCACAATCAATAATTAAAAACACAATCAAGAACAGAACCAAACGTTAATAAAAAAATCAAGGTTTGTATAGCTGGTGTCTTGGCCTTCTGTGCAATACAAAGACTAAAAGACAGGTGGACAGTAATCTATCAATCGTGTGTAAGTCACAAGAGGTGGATTGCTGTTGACGACGTAGGACTTGGTAACAGTGATATGATTGAAGGTCATAGGAACATATGAACCAGGAGCATTCCATTCAGCCCCTTGAGTCTCCTCCACCATTCAATAAGATCATGACCAATTTGATTATGGTCTCAACATTGCATTTACACCTATGCCTGATATGTTTTGACTCTGTTACTCGTCAAGAATCAATCACTGCCTTTAAATATTCAATGACCATGCCTCTCCCTATAAAGTAGTGAAGTGTTACAAAGATTCATGACCCTCAGGAAATAAAATTCCAAAACTTTGTCTTAAATAGAAGATCTCATTTTTAAATTGTGTTTAAGCAGCTCTCTCCACCCATTCTCCTTCAAAACTACTGTCATAACCTGCCTCTTTAAAAAAAAAATCCCAGTCAACCTTTTCATAAAATGCATGCCCTCCAACTTCTTGAATTTTTTTTCCCCCTCCAAAAGGTCCTCCAACTTATCATCACTTTCCAACTTAGTGTCTACTTCTCCTAAAACACACAGGTTAAATTCTCTCAGTTTTTTTTAAAGAAGTTCTGAAATGGCCCAAATCAAAGCCAAGAATAATAATTTTTATAAATTACTTTGTTCTCTTTTCTACAGATTTCAATAAAGTCAACCGTATTTTTGCCCTCCACTGGCTCTCCTTTCTTGTCCAGTTTTATATTTCCCTTTTTGTAGCACCAGTCCTACTAATTGAATGCAATCACTGTATATTTAGCAATGCCTTCTTGCCCCTACCCCATACTTTTCCTCCACTTCCATGTTTCCCATCAGTTACATAACCCACACACATTTTCACATATACAGTAATGATGTCAAACTTTACCTTTCTATTGTTTCTCTCAATCGGTTGTGTGCTCTATGCTACCATATTGCTCATCTGAAGAAGTTTTGGACAAGCCAAAAGTTACTTCACGTCACCAAGGGGCAGACTGAAGCCAATGATCCAGAGTGTCCTGTGACTGGGCAGTGAATAGGTTGTTCTCTCTGTCATTGCCAGGTCAATGTTAATGATATATTCACTTCTCCTTTTTGGATGTGCAAGATAAAATAGCATGATACTGTCTACAGAACATCTGGGATCGTAGTCAATAGGACAAGCAATTATTTATCTCCTGTATAATACTTTAACTAGAAAATCCTTCCCATTACACACACAAAATCTCTTCCAGTTTGCTTGCTCCATTACTCCAACTGGCCTTCAGTCTTATCACTGCACCTGCTGTTATAGAGTTGTAGAGTCATACTGTATGGAGATAGACCTTTCGTTCTAATTCATCCACATCAGCCAGACCTAGTCCGATTTTCCAACATTTGATCCTTACCAAAATGCAACACCTTGCATTTATCTAAATTAAACTCCATATGCCCCATTCCTCAGCCCATTAGCCCATCTGATCAAAGTCCCATTGCACTCTGAGATAATCTTCTTTGCTGTCCACCACACAACCTATATTTGTGTCATCTGCAAACTTACTAACCACACCCCCAAATTCGCATCCAAATCATGCATATAAATGATGAGAAGCAGTGAATCCAGCACTGATCCTTGTGGCACACCAATAGTCACAGGCCTGCAGTCTTAAAAACATCCCTCCACCGCCACCCTCTGTCTTCCACCTTCAAGCTAATTTTGTATCCAATTGGCTAGCTCCTCCGATACCACGTGATCTAATCTTACTAACCAGTTTAGCACGCGGAATCTTGTCAAATACTTTACTGAAGTCCATATAGGCATTTACCATTCTGCCTTCATCACTCTTCTTTGTCACCTCGTCAAAGAACTCAAGTTAGTGATACATGACTTCCCAAACATAAAGTCATGCTAACTATCCCTAATCAGTCCTTGCCTTTCCAAATGCATTAAATCCTGTCCCTCAGAATCACCTCCAACAACTTACCCACCACTGACGCAAGGCTCACTGGTCTTTAGTTCCCTGGCTTTTTTTTTTACTGCCTTTCTTAAATAATGGCACCACATTAGCCAAACGCCACGTCTTTCTCACCCATGGCTATTGATGATACAAATATCTCAGCAACAGGCCTGGTAATTTCTTCCTTAGCTTCCCACAAAGTTCTGAGAAACACCTAATCAGGTCCCAGAGATTTATCTACCTTTATGCATGTTAAGACCTCCAGCACTACCACCTCTGTAATATGGACACTTTTCAAGATATCACTATTTCCCCAAGTTCTCTAGCTTCCACATCCATCTCTTACAGTAAATACTGACATAAAATACTCGTTTATTATCTCACCCATCTCCTGTGGTTCCACGCATAGTTGATCCTTAAGGGGCCCTATTTTCTCCCTAGTTACTCTTTCGCCTTTAATGTATTTATAAAATCTCTTTGGATTCTCCTTAACTCTATTTGCCAAAGCTATCTAATATCCCCTTTTGCCCTCCTGATTTCCTTGTTCA